CCTTTAGGCTTTTAAACTTGCTTTTGCAAATTGGAACTTACAAATGAATAAATTCATCTCGCACCTCTAACTTAAAGTATCGCACCTCTAACTTAACTTTGGGCTGAGCTTCAAGATAACTCTTTTCACATCGTACCTCCTACCTAAGGTTTGAATTTGAGAGTTTCTTTTATTAATCTTTAATATTTCTCCTCGAACTCGGAAGTCTGAAAGAACATTAAGCAATTGGAACTTTCTACATCGCGCCTTTAACTTGTTCGTTCAAAGGGTTGAATTTTTGAGTCCCTAGTTGTTATTCACATCGCACCTCGAACCCGTAGGTTTAGAGGTCCGAATTTCATGAACCTTCAACATCGCACCTTTAACTCAAGCGTTCAAAGGATTGAATTTTGGCTCGTAATTGATTTTGACATCGCACCTCGAACCCGTGGGTTTTGAGGTTGCCGATTTTAAGTCTTATGGGAGTCCGTGGCCGCCATTTAATTTCTAATCGAACTTGGAGTTATGAAATTAAATAACCCCATTTATTGAAAGTTCCGCCCCTTGAAAATTTTTACAAGCCCATTTTGGGACTATTTTGACATTTCAGGGGTAATAGCGCTTCAAGTGCTCCGCGTTCCATGGATGCGTAAGCACTCTTCCTTCCAGGTCAGCCAGTATATAAGTTTCAGGTCGGACTATGCCTTTGATTTCGAATGGTCCCTCCCAACTTGGGTCAAGGGTGCCGACATGACTCTGAATTTTTCTTAAGACTAAATGTCYAACTTGAAAGCTTCGAGGTTGAACTCAGGCATTGTAATGTCTGGCCATTCTGTTCTGATACTCTGTTAAGCGCAGCTGAGCCGTTTCCCTTTTCCCTTCCAATAATTCTAGGTTAAAGAGTAGCTCTTCCTCGTTCTTTGTTGGCTCGTACTGTTCTACCCTGTCTGTTGGTAGCCGATCTCGACTGGTACAACAGCTTCGGAACCAAAGGCTAGCGAGAACGGAGTTTCGCCAGTTGATTCTCTTGGGGTGGTTCGATATGACCACAGAACTTCAGGTAGCTCCTTGGCCCACCTTCCCTTTCTGGAGTCCAACCTTAGCTTGAGTCCTCGCTTTATGATCTTGTTTACTGTTTCAACCTGCCCATTTGCTTTTGGATGTGCAGGGGACGAACTGAGGTGGCTTATACTCAGTTTTCTGCAAAAGTCTTTGAACTTTGCATTGTCAAACTGTTTTCCGTTGTCCGTCACAATAGCATTGGGTATGCCAAAGCGGCACACGATGTTTGTCCATATGAACAACGTGACCCTGGACTCTGTGATGTGGGATAGTGCCTCGGCTTCGGCCCACTTAGTGAAGTAGTCCACAGCGACAACGACGAACTTTGTTTGTCCTTTGTCCAGAGGAAAAGGACCTATGATGTCTACCTCCATTGCGCAAATGGCCATGGGGCCGAGATGAGGGTGAGCAGTTCGGGAGGTTGATGGATAATGTTTGCGAAACGCTGGCAGTTGTCACAAGCTTTCACAAACTGCTTGGCATCCTACTCGACACTGGGCCAATAGTACCCTTGTCGAACCACCTTGGCCGACAATGACCTGGCGCCAGAGTGGTTTCCACACACCCCTTCATGAACTTCCC